CTAAGCTAAGTCATACTAAATGATGCAAGAATGATATTCGCAGGTCAAGTTGAAATTATTGGCATCCTTAGGCCTACGTATATTGTTGTGGTAAAATGTGACTCACAAAGAATACAATTCTTATAAGGATATTTTAGTGTTTTCGAAAATGTATCAAACCCAATATATGTGATTCTTTTTTTCATTATATTTGATCTTTGATATCTTATGGTTGGTGTATCAAAAAGTATGTTTTGTCGAGCACAGTCTTGTCCACACTAACTTACCTAATCAGTGGCACTGGCTATAAAAGTCCTGCAAATATTCTTACCAAGTCCAAGTAAGTACTCGCGTTGAAGCATCACGGAGAGGTTAAACTTTAAAGTAACAACATGTCGACTCAGACCGGGAAACATGCTGTCAAAATCAGTTGCATCTGTGGCAAAGTTGATGAACGATCCTGTAGCCAAAATTCCATGTGGATGGCACCCGACCAGGTAATTTCTGTCGTTGGGCAGCAAAACGGCTCGTTCCCCATGACCAGGCCGGGGTTTGGTGGCACTGATTGCCAGAAGCTCATCGCTGGCCACGAGGCGAATTGGAAAATATTTGGCCAAAATAACCCAATTGGGCAGACGTTGGAGTATTGTCGAGGCCATGCCACCTCGTTCCTCTAGTCCCCAAGTCCGTTGGAGATGAATCGTGTGCCAGACCAGAAAGAGCGCAGTCAAAACGAGGCCAGGTCTATGGAGGCAGCAGTCAAAGAGGCGAGTGATGAAAGCGACCAGATCCTGTGGAGGGTCGGGGTAGGCCAGGCCTCTGACCAGACCTATCAGCAGATAGGCCCAGGCTGAATAGTAGATGAGAGAGCAAATCAGCCCAGCCAGCAAGATGTTGCACGTCCATATAAGTCCAACGAGTAGAAAGTGTGGAATGCGAAGTCCCGTTGTGAAACTTCGAGAAAGCATTTTGCTGCATCAGCTCGGATGTCTTGTATCTTAGAAACCAGCGATTGCGAGGGAAGAATGGGAAGAGTCGTTTTGTAGCGGTCGGTTGGACACTCCAGTCGTCAAGATTGACATTCTCTGGCATCCTCATCAGATCCGCATAGTCTAGCCATTTTGTCTGGATAGAAGCATACTGATGAAGCTGGCTTAGAATCCCGGTCAAATTCGTAAAAAGGTCTCTCTTATGCACATCAATGGAAAAAGTTGATGGAGTAGTCAACCAGCCCAGAACAAAGTCTTTTATATGCCTGACTTGGAGGCGGTGGTCGGCTAATTCAACGATTGGCAAGCTGAGCCTAGTTGGCCTGCAAACTACGGTAGCAGGTCGTATTATGCAATGTCGTGATTTACAACTATTTAGTTTTGTGCAAGTGCAGAGAAATAAATTGGCTGACTATGAGGCGAGATGAAAGGAGGAGTATATACGTCAATGTTATACAACGCAATTAGTCAGCTATTTCCGGCGACGCTATAAACAGCAGGCCAGCTAAGTCATGTAAACGAACTATTATGTGCTTCTACCATTGCTGCCCTCAACGTGACTGCCTGAATGCTTAAACCAGTACTGGATTGAGACCATATGACCGAATGACCAACTGACTGGCCAATGGAGTGAATGACTGACTGACTAAATGACGGCCTGAATGGTTGACTAGAGAGCTGACTGACATGGACTGACAGTGACCGATGATGCTGACGCAGTAAAGGCTTGACACTTTATATTGAGTTTCGTTAATTAATGAGCCTCCCACTTGGCTGGAAAAGAAAGCTTGAGTGAAGAACGACCATCAAAGTGCATATCTGCCAGAATGTGTTTTCTTCAATCCCTCCTTACTCCGGCAATATGTAGGAATATTAGCCGAATTTCAATGGATTTCTTGAAATAGTATTGTTGTGGAGAGATACAAGACGCACTAGATTACACTAGCTCAGCTTCACCTTTCCTTCGATGGCTAAACCTTAAGGGCCATAACTTTAATCCGAGCTACTTTGGGGTTCACGCAATCTCGGCCATGCTTTTTCTTGCGTCATAAAGCATTAATGAACAGGGAATGGCGTTAGGCACTTTCGTAATCATTGTAGATACGAAGAGAAACTTTGTTTCGATAATTCTCCTGAGATAACATTGTTAGGGGGACCTTCATTTCGAATGAAAGTACATGATGAAGAGATTCGTTTGT